GGGTATATGCGCAAGTGCGGGTGCCCACAGAGTCTGAAAAAGGGCATTGGATCCCCTGGAGCTAGAGTTACAGGAGGTGATGAGCTGCCTGAAATGGGTGCTGGGAACCAAAATCAGGTCCTCTGCCAAGAGCAGCAAGTACTCTTAACCTCTGAGCCATCTCTCCAGCCCCATGAAACTTTTTAATTCCATATAAGCCCATTTGTCAACTCATGGGACTATTTCCTGTGGTACTGGAGACATGTTCATAAAATCTATGCCTGCTGAAGGGTTTCTGTTTTGCCTCTGGCAGTTTTAAAGTTTCACATCTTATATTAAGGTCTTTGATCCATTTTCAATTAATTTTCATGCAGGGTCAGAGATATGAATCTAGTTTCATTCTTCTAAATATGGAAATACAATCTTCCTAGCACCATTTGTTAAAGAGGCTGCCTTTTCTACGCTGTTATTTTTTTTTTTTAACAACTTTATCAAAAATTTCGTGGCTGAAGTATGTAGGTTTATTTCTGGGTCTTCTACTGGTCTACATGTCTGTTTCATGCCAATACTGTGCTGTTTTGTTACCACAGCATCATAAAAGCTCCAGCCCTGCTTTCTGCTAAGGATTGCTTTCACAATTTGGGGCATTTTGTGATTCCACATGAGTTTAAGGTTTGTTTCTTGTAACTGTGAAGAATGTCATTGAATTTTAATGGGGATTTTCATGAGTCTATAGACTGCTCTTAGTAATATAGCCACTTTCACAGTTACTTCTATCCATGAGCATGGGAGGTTTTTCCATCTTCTAGTATCTTCAATTTCTTTCTTTAGCTTCCTAAAGTTTTCATTGTAGAGGACTTTCACCTGCTTGGTTAGCTTTATTCCTTAGTTTGAGATTTTTGAAGCTATTACAAGTAGGATTTTTTCCCCTGATTTCTTTCTTAGTGAATTCATTACCAGCATGTGGAAAAACTACTGATTTTTCTATGTTGATTTTGGATCCTGCTACTTTGCAGGAAGTGTTAATCAACTCTAAGAGTTTCCTGGTGGAGTTTTAAGGTCTTTTAAGCATAGGATCATCTCTCTGCAAATAGGTATAATTTGACTTCTTTCCTATCTGTATCCTTTTTTCCTTCCTTTCACATCTTAATGCTTTAATATCTTTTTCCAGATTTTAGAGGAAATGCTTTTCCCCCCTATTTTGTAAAACATTGTCACAGATAGCATTTACTATGGTGAGCTATGTTTCTTCTATTCTTAATTGTGAAGGGATGCTGAACTTTGTCAGTGGCCTTTACTGAATTCAAGAGATGATTGTGTAGTTTCTGCCCTTACATCTATTTATGTACTGAATTATACTTATTCAATTACATATGCTGAACTAGCCTTGCATTCCTGAAATGAAACCATTTCAGTCATGGTATACAGCTTTCTTAATGTGGCTTGTCTTTTGTTGTGGTTTGTTTTGGGTATATGTTGTGGTTTGAGTATATGTTGTGTATGTGTACATGTGTGTTTGGATGGATACACGTGTGCATGTGAGAGCCAAAGGTCTACCTCAGGTTTTCCTTTGTGCCATCCCCTCATGTCTCATGGCTTGGAGCTTGCCAAGTAGACTAGGTCGATTGGCCAGTGAGTCCCAAAGATCTGCCTGTTTCTATCTCCCCACCCCTGAAATAAGCATGCACCACCATGTTGTTTTTTTTTTAATTTTATTATTTTTATTTTATATGTATGCATATATTGCCGGCATGTAGGTAAGTGTACCCGTGTCGTGCGATGCGAAGAGGCTGTCGGATCCCCTGGGACTGGAGTTACGGACAGTTGTTAGCTGCCATGTGGGCAATGGGACTCAAACCCAGGTCTTCTGCAAAAACAACCAGTGTTCTTGACCACTGAGCCATCTCTCCAGCCCCCCAGTTTTTTGTTTTTTAATGTGGTTCTGGGGACTAAACTCAGGTCCTCCTGCTTGCAAGCACTTTACTGACTAAGCTATTTCCCTAACTCTTAATGTATTCATGAACTCAAATTGCAAAAATTGTTTGCTCTAGCCAGCCTGTCTGCCTGCCTGCCTCCCTCC